CAATACAACTGGGTGAAAAGGACTGTTAATTCTTTTGCAGATGGGTTGGCCAAGCAAGGGGTGAATAGGGAGGTTATTTTTTAATCTTCTTTCATTGTAATTTTCTGATGGGGAGATAAGACTCTTTATCTCCCCCTTTTTTTGTACCTAAAGCTTCATAATTCTTAATAAAGTTTCTGTTATTGATCAAAAAAAAAAAGGAATAATACAATCAATTAGCACTCAAGCTTCTCTGGTTCTTCTCAAAGATTCTTGCATTTCTTCTTCCCACATTATCAAACATACCATTGCCCTTGTACATCACCACAAAATCCTACCTCTGTTTTTTTATGCTTCTCAAATAAGAATGGTCGAACAGTTCATCCAAACAGAAGGGATGAACAGTCCATCCCACCTTTTTTTTGTCTTCAAAGCAGATTTTTCTTTGGTCAATAACTGTAAAAGTTTTATTAATGTAAACAGAATGTACAAGGTGCATAATTGAAGAAAATGTTTTGAAATGGTAAAAAATTGATATATTCATTCCATTGCCAACCGACTTATTTATACAGTAAGCTGCTGCAATAAATGGAAAAAAAATCTTCCTAAATCAATCCCTATAATTAAGGGAGTAATTATTTTAATCCCCATATTTAAGGGATTATACTCTTCCACAATCCTAGGAATACATATTTACACATTCCTATTTTTTCACACATTCCTATTTTTACACAATTACCAAATATAGATGCTAACTACCAAATATGCATCTACACCAGTAACCCCACGTTTTCCAATACTCCCCCTCAAGCTGGTGAATAGAGATCCTCCATTCCCAGCTTGGCTACAATTCTACAAAAGTCTGTACTATTGAGCCCTTTAGTAAGTACATCGGCCAGTTGTCTTTTTGTAGATACATAGAGAGTGCAAATCAACTTGTTGTCTAGTTTCTCTTTTATAAAGTGTCGATCAATTTCAATGTGTTTTGTCCTGTCATGTTGAACAAGATTGTGAGCAATATTGATGGYTGACTTGTTGTCACAATATAATTTCCTGGGGTACTCCTCGTGGAAAATTGTTGTCACCCACTCGTGGAAAATTGGATCCTCATGTTATTCCTTGCATATTCCTGGGGTACTCCTTCACTCAGAAGGGATACCGTTGTTTTGATCATGTTTCTTGGAAATTCTATGTTTTCATGGATGTCTTTTTCTTTGAGAGTGAGCCTTTTTTCCATGTTTCTCCTCAGGGAGAGAGTAGGAATGAGGAGAAACTGGTTCAACTCCCTCATCTTCCTGATCCTCCTCCTTTTCGTGTCTTCTTCCATCGTCACAAAGGCCAACCAAATTCAAGAGCTGTGGAGAATCTAGAAGTTGTACCTCCAATGCCATTAAACTCTTTGGGGGCGGATCATACTCACTCAGGTATCTTGGTTCCCATTGATGTCCTTGACCCCATTGCAATTGATACCTTTGTTGCTAATGACCTTGACCTTCCTATTACTCATAGGAAAGGTGTTAGATCGTGCACCACTAAACATCCCATTTCTCACTTTGTTTCCTCTAAAAACAGTTCACCCTCTTTTCGAGCCTTTCTCATATCCATCAACAGTGTCCCTATCCCTAAGAATGTGGCATAAGCTCTTTCAGTACCTGAAGGAACAAATTCTATGAAGGAAGAAATTAATGCCCTTCATAAAAATGGCACATGGGAACTTGTACATCTTCCTAAGGGAAAGGATCCAGTTGGATGTAAATGGGTGTTTACAGTCAAACATAGGGCTGATGGCACGGTGGAGAGGTATAAAGCTCGTTTAGTGGCAAAGGGGTTTACACAAGTGTACGGAGTTGAATATGCAGAGACTTTTGCACCCGTTGCCAAGATGAACTCCATTAGAGTTCTATTCTCTCTTGCTGCTAATCTTGACTGGGATCTACATCAGCTTGATATCAAGAATGCATTCTTCAATGGTGACCTTGAAGAGGAAGTTTACATGATACAACCCCCTGGTTTTCTGGCTCAAAGCAATGAACAAAAGGTGTGCAGGTTGAAGAAGTCTTTATATGGGCTGAAACAATCACCGAGAGTTTAGTTCAACAGATTACATGCAGCGGTTCAGCAAGAAGGATACAAGCAATGTCAATCTGATCACACATTATTTGTGAAAAGAGGAGAAGGTAAAATTGCTGCTTTGATAGTATATGTTGATGATATAATTATCACTGGTGACTGGAAGGATGAAATCCAAAAGTTGAAGAGTTTTCTTGCCACACTGTTTGAAGTAAATGATCTAGGTCCTCTAAGATACTTCCTAGGAATTGAAGTTGCCCGCTCAAAAAGGGGTATCTTCATTTCCCAAAGGAAATATGTCCTAGATTTACTCTAGGATACAGGAAAAATGGGAGTGAAGCTAGTTGATTCCCCTATTGATCCTAACCATAAATTAGGTGACAGCCAAGGTGAACCTATCAAGGATGTGAAACAGTTTCAACGACTTATAGGGAGATTGTTATATCTTTCTATGACCCGCCCAGACATTGCTTATGTAGTTGGTGTCCTTAGCCAGTTCATGCATGCCCCTATGACCACTCATCTTGAAGCAGCAGAAAGAATCCTCCGATACCGTAAAAGGTTTCCAAGTGCTGGCTTGTTGTTTCTAAGGCATGGACATTTGAAAGTTGAAGTGTATACTGATGCAGATTGGGCAGGACCCCTAAATGACAGAAAGTCAACTAGTGGCTACTATACCTTCATAGGAGGAAATCTAGTTATCTGGGGAAGCAAAAAGCAAAGTGTGGTAGCTAGATCCAGTGCTGAAGCTGAATATCGAGCAATGGCTCATGGAGTGGCTGAAATTATGTGGATAAAGAATCTTTTGAGTGAGTTGGGTTTTCCAGTGGACAGACACCTATGACCTTATTCTGTGATAACAAAGCAGCCATAAACATTGCTGCTAACCCTGTGCTACATGATAGAACTAAACACATCGAAGTCGACAAGCATTTTATCAGAGAGAAGGTTACCACAGGGAAGTGTGTACTCCCTATGTCAACTCTGAGGATCAACTTACAGACATCTTTACAAAAGGACTACACCACTCACAACATCATGATTTATGTGACAAGTTGGGCATGATTGACATCTCTGTCCCAACTTGAGGGGGAGTGTTAACAGCTGTTATTTTTCCTATGTATAGTACCGCAGGGGTACTATTGTACTTTTACTCTTTTTTATTTTAGTTGATGTCGCCCTAGTATATATATTAAAAAAGCTGCGCTGCCAGTAGTATCTTTTGCTCTCAGTTCTCTCTTCTCTCTTCTTCTCTCTCTCTTTTCTTTCTTCTTCCATTCTTCTCTCTTGCATAACAAAACTTATGCTTTCATTGAGCAAGATCATCTTAATTTTTTTTTTTTTTTAATTTATTTTATCCAACCATGCTGCTTTGGATGTGTTTGGTGTAACTGTTTAGTTATTACTATTTAGTAACATATTTTCAGTTTTTTTTTTTTTGTATCATATTCTTTTTATGGGTGTGTATTGTGTAATCATTATTTCCTTTGTTTTCTTGGGCAGCTTTAATTGTAAATACATTTTCTGATTGCATTATTAAATTCACATTAACTCAGGAACATCTAAAGGGAAGGTTATCTAATCCATGCAGTTCCTGATTTTTTGGTTTCAGGCCCAATGTTTGCAAAGCTAATAGCTCACAAATCCAAAGGAATGCCTCTCATTTCCATTGCTCTTGACAGAATCATGGACTCAACTGCCAATGATGCCATGGCAAATCTATCTTTGGAGTTATTTAAAGCATATGAAACCAAGCATAATTTAGTTGTAAAAGGTAGTAACATTCTCCATGTAGAGGAATACTGCTGTTATTCTGTCATGTGTAACTGGATATAATCAGATTCTTTTTGTCATTTATTTGATCAAATATCATATTGTCTCTTGTCTCCATGGTTCGCAGTATCAGCGATATTTGGTGAAATATCCCTGATATATCCCATTTTACTAAGTGGCGATACGAAACATTCTTGGAATCCTTTTTTTTTTTCCAAATATCACCGATATTTGTTGATATGCCAGTGATATTTCAAATTTCATTGATATTATTAAAAGCTTTTGGATATTTTATTAAAATCATCATGATTTTTTAAAAGAATTTTCCTAAAAGAACCAATGGGGAATTGGTATTTGGATAATTGGCTTACTCTTTTCATATGATTCACCAAGTCATTGTAGTTCAAAAGAAAAAGAAAAAATGCATATAACTACCAAAGAGTATTCCCAATCTAATGAAAGCATATAATAACAAAAAAGGCAAAAGTCAAAATGACAAGTAATTGACATATATTTAATAAAAAGATGGCTAAAGGAATTAAAGAGAGATAGAGAAAGATACCTATTAAATTTTCTCTTTTTTGATTCATACATGTTTTTTTGCTATTGTTTTTTGAACCTTAAATGTACAATTATATTTCTTCTAATGATTCCATTAAAGGTTTATTAACTAGTTCCATGTTTTTAAAAAAATTTCCTGATTTTTTAGATTTTCCAAATATCTTAGCAAAATTAGTGGAATGTCTCGGAGATACCTCCATCTCTACATGGAAAAATATTCATTGACACCTCCTTTGAAGATACTGTTCCCCTTAATTTATGCCCTTTCCTCTCTAAAGAACAAATCGGTTGCTGATTTCTTAATCCTCCCTCCCTCCCAGTCCGGTTTTGCTTGGAATCTGGGGCTTTGTAGAAATGTGAGGGATTCTGAGATGGGCTTGGTGTCCTCTCTCCTTCAGCTGCTAGATGGGGTGTTTCTTGATACCTCTAAACAAGATACTAGTTTCTGGACCCCTCACCCCTCCGGAGCCTTCAGTTGTACTTCCTTCTTTAAAACCTTGCCCACTTCTGCTCAACTTGGGGTACTGTTTCCAGTCCAAGAAGTTTGGTGTCTCCCTATTCCCCTGAAAGTGAGTGCTTTTTGTTGGGAGGTCTACCATGGTGCAAATGCAATTGACACCTGTGATCTGATGCAGAGGAAGAGGCCTGGCTGGTGCCTTTCACCTAATTGGTGTTGTTTGTGCAAGTCAAGTGGCGAAACTGCTTTTCATATTTTTGTCTCCTGTCCCGTTGCTAGCTGTATTTGGGACTGGCTTTTCTCTCTCTTTGGATGCAGGTGGGAATACCCCGATGAGTTTGGAAAGGCTATTTGACTCCTCCACTTTCAGATGGTCAAAAAGAAGAGGTCGAATGCTATGAAGATGCACTTGGGCAGAAGTGCTTTGGGTGATATGGGAGGAGAGAAATTTGAGAATTTTTGAAGAAAAGAAAAGACGCAAGGAAGTGCTGATAGAAGGGATCATGATAAAGGTGATTTCGTGGGTAAAATCTGTGGGATTGTTCTCAGACTTTACTGTGGATGATATCTTCAGAAATTGGGGGACAGTAGCTTCCTCTTTATCAACTAAAAAGGTCTTAAGAGAGTGGGATCCCCCTGATTCTGGCTTCCTCAAATTAAACTTTGATGGAAGTAGCTTTGGCAACCCAGGAATGTCTGGAATTGGAGGGGTGATAAGAAATGACAAAGGGATTGTGGTGGGGTTGTTCTCAATCCCTATTGGAAGGGGAGACTCCACTACAGCTGAACTAAAGGCATTGGTTTTTGGGATACAAAAGGCTATGGAGTTGGGAATGAGAAAGCTGGTTGTGGAAGGCGACTCCAAAGTGGTCATAAGCTGGTTAAAGCAAAATGAAAAGACTCCCTGGCTCTATAGAAATGAAATTAAGAAGTTTAATTGCTTTTACAAGGACATGCAGTTGTTAATACAGTGGACTCCAAGAGCAGCGAATGGCTTTGCAGATCTGGTAGCAAAACAGGGGGTTAACAGGAAACATTGTTTCTGGGCTCAGTTGTAAGGCTGGATAATTAAAGTCGATAGTTGGCAAACTCTAAATTGTAATGGGGTAGCCGAGGCTAGGCTACTCATTTCTGTAATCTTTCTGAATTTATTAATGAAATCTCTTTTACTGATAAAAAAAAGTCCATTGACATCGAAATTATGAACCATGGTCTCCATTATTATGGGAATCGATATCCCATTCCATTGGTATTTTGGGGAGCCAAACATCGAGTTATTGTTTTTCATTTTCTGTCATCCACTAAATTAAGTTTAATGTGATCCATGGTTATCATTATCAAGCATTGCAATAGACCTGATTAAGATTCATTATATTCTTGGTTGTTTCATTTCAGCTGAAGTTGTTAAAGGATGTGATATCCATGTGGTTCATGATCTGTAGTTTATCCTTGAAGCTAGAGATTGCTCCTATTCTTTTTTCTCGCTGAAAAAGTGGTCTGTTACAAGTTGATGGGTATAGAAGAGCTAGTGATCTGTTACAAGAAATGATTTAGGGGCCCATAGCTTAATTGACCACATTCTGATTACATATACTATTAAATTTGACTTTTAGTGAAACTTTTTATAGGAAAAAGTTATCTAACTAATTAGCTCAAGTAAGCAAATTCCCTACATGACTGTTCCTATTTCTCCCATGTAGAGGGATTCAGTGGCTGATCCAGACTGTCCACCAGATAGGAGATAGTGAACCCACTGAATTGAAGTATCCAACGTGGTATGACACCCTTGTACAGGTATCTGGGTATCATAATTGAATTAGCCAGCTCAATACACAACCTTCTATTGGAGTATTTCCCAATCAGTAATAGCTTTCATACTTGTAAGATTCCAATTTAAAGTACCTTTATAAAAGAGGGTCTATTTTGCACATGTGGTGAAGGCCTTTTGGGCTGAAATATTTTCCATAAAAGAGGGTGGGAAGAGAGTGATTTGATGCAGGTTGAAGTTTTTAAAAGGAAAACAAGAATCTGGATTCAAGTAGTTAGAGAAGTTCAGTAAGCTTCCTCCTTAACAGAACATATACAGAATTGAGAGAGGATTTCTGCTGCTGGTTCCATTTGGATGGGATACAACAAATGATGATGATATGAAGGAAAAAATGTTTATATCGTTATTAGATTACTTCTATGTCTTTCTGTGCTTGTGAAACCTTGATTAGGGATGAGAAAAATATCCTTTCTGTCAGTTCTAATATAAGATAGGGAGCAAATTAGTCCTCCCCACTACCCCAACATTTTACTTGACATCAATGCAAGTGTTTCAATCCAATCTACTATTTTTAAACTCCCCTTTCTAGTTTCTGGATGCAATTTATTGCATTCTCATTCTTGCATAAGAATTTAACTATTATGGTATTGTTTGTGGTTTCTTTCTAATAAGATTTTACTGGAAAAGATAAAAAATGTTACATTAGGTTTACATTGTTTTGCACCTTACTTTTTTGGCTGATGGCAGAATTGAGAAACTATAATGATACTTTATTCTTATATTGTTTGTGTCAACAGAACAAGAGCGCACTTGCTGGTTGACACAAATTCTGTCTGCTGAAAAGGTATTCTACATGTTTCTAGCTCTTTGCCTTAAATGCTGGTTGTTTTAGTTTGATTTTATTTGCATATTCAATTAGAGATGCCTCTTTTGAACTTTAGACACTCTTCAATTCCATGGAAAGGAGGTCATAGTGGAAGTTTGTGATATTGAGTTTGTCTATTCCTGTATAAGCACATATAATTCATATTGTATCCTCATGTGATCTTGAGCTGGTATTGGTGACTAAAGGATGAAAATGGCACAATACTAGAATTATTTTCTAGTCCAATCGGAGTGGGGGGCATTGAGAGCTGAAGTAATGCCATTACTACAGGCAAATTCCGATAGAGGTCGATACTGTACCATTGGGCACTTTTATTTTATTTTTTATTTTTAGTTATTTTTTCAAACCTGTGCAGGGGGGTTAGTATAAGGCCTGTCTACCCCCAAAAACCCAACTTAAAGTGGCATATTGGCGGGTCACTGATACAGTGCGAAATTTTGATCATTGACTACAGGGGTTGAGAATGACAAAATCAATGGACTTGTAGAATGTAATAGTTGAAGGAGACTTGAAGGTGGTGGTGGGCTGGATGTTAAACAGTACCCAAGGACACTGGCAATACAGGCATATCTTGAGAGAGAATGTTTTTGGCAACCTACCAAACAATTCAGACACAAGAATAAGAGAAGAATCAGATTAGAGAAGCAAATTACTGCCTTAAAGCATGCAAACTTCATTCTCTTGGGTTGTCAAGTCTGCAGATTCTCTAGATGCTTCCATTTCTGTGAGAGGGAGTAGCCAGATAGGATTAGAGGAGTATTGGGTGTACAACATAGGGGTGAGCAGCAGAGGGACTGGATTCCTTTTCTATTTTCTCAGGAAGCTGACAATTCTCCCTTTGTATGTGTGTTTTCTATTATTCTTGACTCTATAAATTCCTGATGAGTTATTTATCAAAATAAATAAATAAATAAATTCCTGATCAGTTACTGATAGACAAAGATGATTTCACAAATTATTCATTATAAACTTAAAAATTGCTTTTGTTATTGAGATTGAATATCTTGATCATAAGTTTGAGAATAAAGTTCCCTTTCTATTTCTATTTGATTTTTATTAAGAAAATAACTTATGAGTTACATGGAACTTCTAGATGTTATAGAAACATCTATTCATTCCAGTTTAGTAGATGTAGATGAGTGTAGAGTACTTATAAATTGCTTCATGCTAGATTTTCTGAACCGTGGAGAGAAGTTTTGACTAATGTGGTCTTGTATTCATGTACTTGAATATGCTCATATCTTGCATAAATATCATTGTTTATCTAATTATAATATAAGCTCATTTCATTTCATCAATTAGGAGAAAAATGAAAGCCTTCAGCACCAACTTGATACACTCTTGTTTTCAAAGAGAAAGAAGTTGCAGAAGTCGAATGTATCAGATAAAGCACTTCCTGTTTCTGCTCTCAGTAACTCAGATGTGGTGTCAGTTTCTGAAACACATAATTCGCCAGGTGTGTTACACCATTGGATTTGTATGGCATGTCTGTTTAGGTTGTGGTGTATATAAACCATTAACACCCCCATCACACACACACACACACAGTGAATGCATTTTTTATTAACAGTTTAGTGCTGGAGGTTGGACTCAGTCTTATAGTCAATATGATTACTGATTAGGTACCAAGTGGAGTAGAGAGGGAAGAGGATGTTTTAGGAGTGGTTGATTTAATATATACGAAAGAAGTCTACTGAAAGGCTTAAGGTATAAATAATTACACTGATGATGGGAAGAATAAAATTCTTTGTAGGTTATGTAAAAAATGCTTTACTCTGTAACAAATAGATTGTTTCTGAAGCAACAGAGTCAAAGGGGAAAAAAGAGTTAAGTCATAATTTTACATTTACTGATTTAAAACAATTACATATTTTACCTTTCAAAGAAAAAATCAATAATGATAATAGAATAGAAGAACATCATCTATAGCAATTGTAAAGAAAAGTGAACTTAGATCTGTAGTACATATAAACCTGGGTTCCCTGTGCTATATTTTGTGGATCCAAGTGTGAGTGGTCCTAGTTTAACATAGGTTAGAACCGTTGTACCTAACAAGCCACAAGCCCCAGAATTAAGATTCAATGACTCGGCATGTATACTTTATTGTTATATTAATAATATTATTTTATTATCAATGGCACTAACCAGAACAGAATAGTGAAATAGGATTCATGTATCCAACCCCCCATTGTTGGGATAAGGCTTAGATGATGGTGAATATATTTTAGGGAAAATTATTTAAACTACTCCAAGGATTTCTGACAAATTCTTATGGTTTCAAAAATTACTTGAAGTACTTAGGCAGCTTCTCCTTGTTTCTCCTTGTTCTTTTCCTCTCTCTCTCTCTCTCTCCCTGTTCCTTCCCATTTCCCTTCCATCCTGCATTGCTGCTAGCCTCCTGTTTTGGGCTTTTTTTTTTTTTTTATCAGTAACAAAATCAATTCATTAATGATAAAAGGATAGGTACAAGGCAGGGGAGATAAACTCTCTTAACTCCCCCAAAATCAAAATATAAAGATTACATGTAAGCCCAGAACAATTGATTTGTTTCCACCCCTTGTTTATTTAGTGCATCTGCAAATGAATTAGCACTCCTCTTTACCCATTGAAGCCTCACTGTCATGTCTCGGGTCCACCATTTGAAGATTCTCTTCTTGTTTAGGTAATTCCACATTCTGCTTTCCTCTTTCTGCAACCAATCTATTACCAGTTTCGAGTCTCCCTCAATAATTAACCTCCTTAAGTTGAGTTCCTTTGCCTTTTTGACGCCTTCTAGAATAGCTAGAACTTCAGCTCGGGGAGAGTCTCCTTCCCCAATTGGATGTTCAACCTTGAAACTCTCCTTGATGTCAAACCCAGTTGGATGTCACATGTCTGGAACTTCCTCAACCCCCATCCTCTCTCTCTTTCAAGTTAAAGGAGATATTTTTGTTGCAAGTACACAAGATTGAATAAATATTCAATGGGGGAATTACCTCTGAAATGTCTCTTTAGAAATGGAGGAATTTTCATCATCACCTCTAACTTCAAGGGAAAGATCAGTAATGTTAGTGTCACACTGGCTCCGAAGTTCAAGCGGACCACCAAGTGAGACCAAGGAAAATCCATTAACTGTATGAACCAGAGTCAGATTCTGGATGGATTGCTGGTGTGGAAACAAGAAATTAAAGGATGATTTTCCAGAAGGGCGTTGAATGATTGGGAGATTGAACCTATTGGAAGGCAACTCCAGAAGCTGTACAGCATGCAAATTGATCTTAATTCAGTAGATAGAAGGGTGTGGTCAGCAGATAGCAAGGGCCAGTTCACTGTAAAATCTTTTTTATAATAAACTGGCTCAAGAGGAAGAGCAGGAGTTTCCTATGCATGTAATATGGAGCAAGCACATTCCTTTGAAGATGGCTTTTTTTGTTTGGTCTGCCTACCTGAACAAGATTCTTACAAAAGATAACTTGGTTAGGAGGAGAATGGTGATTGAGCCACCTAGGTGTGTGTTAGTAACAGGGAAGAAGAATCAGGTGAGCATTTGCTACCGCATTGCAGTTTCACCTCAACATTTGGGTGAAAATCTTCAGGATCTTTGCTATCAGAAGTTGCTGCCTGGCCTCAGTGGATACTTTTGTGAAAGGGTGGTGGATACAGGGTTTGAGTAAGAAAGGGAAAATATTATGGCATTTGATTCCAGGAGCAGTCTTCTGGTCGATATGGCAGGAAAGAAACTCAAGGTTATTCCAAAACAAAGGCTGTCAAGAGGAGGAAGTGTGACAGAAAATAGTTGGGAAGCTGTTTTCTTGGTCATCAGCCCAACTAGCTGTTGACAGTTCTTTCTTTAGTTCCCTTTTTAAGTTTGAAAATATTTTTGTAATTTCAAATGGGATAGTGGTCTAACTGGCTTTTGTACTTCCCCGTTGTACAGCCTCTGGTTGTACATGGGTCCTTTATTTTTTCTATTCTAATGAATTGACACTTTACCTCTTCTCATAAAAGGGATGTTCTTAAAATTCAAGATTGTAATTTTGATAGTTTTTTTTTTTTTTTTTTATGTATTTTTGGTGTCTCCTTGACACCAGGTTGATTGTATTGTTGTTTTTTATTTTAATTAAACTTTCTTGTTACTATAAAAAAAACGATACTGCTTTTCTATATTCATTTTCTTTTTTCATATTTCCTTTTCCTCGAATTAAAAATGAAGACATTTCGTAGTTTACCTTGTTATTTGGTAGATATCGTTTTATTTTTCTCTTCTTTATTTACTGCTGAATTCAACAATTCCTCTAATTCATCAGTTGACTTTGGTTGTTGAAATCTGATCATCTCTTATTTCATTGACATAAAAGACTGTATGTTTACCCTCTCAACTGCAGAGAAGCCGCCTGTCCAAGATCTTCTATCCACAAAAGTTGGTCAACGGGTTGTCCCTGCATATCGCAGGTAATGAAGCAATTTCATTCTTTACATACACATCAATTCTATGTTCTGCCTCATTTTGTAATTTGGCATTCATTGGCAGGGCAAAAGTAAGAGGAGTCTTCCTGCAGGATACTGAGGGCAGTGAAGATAACTGAAAGGTGGAAATAGAATACAGAACATTCTTTTTTGTTTCAGCTACATCTTACTCAAGAAGTTTCTGGTCAAAAGAACCTTGATTTTCATTTGCTACATGATGAAAAAACAAGTCCAGCAAAAAGGAAATGGTGCTGTAGGCTCCGTCACACATAGGCTTATAGCTAACACAACAGATGATGGTATAGATAAAATTAGTGGGGATTTGCTAATGCAGTTTCCATTGGACTTCCCCACCTGCCCATTGTAAATGAAGTCACCAAATAGCTTGAACCATCATTTTTTTTTTTTATAAACTTACATGATTACAAGACTAATGTGTTTATGTAGAGTGGAGACAGGTATAGATGTTATTTAAACTTGATGAATGTGACTATTGAGTTGGAGAACTACTAGAACTGACAGCTGGCCAGCTGCATATGATGGTCCTGTTTGGATGGAGCTTGATCAAATTTTAAATCTTTACCAGAGTTTAAAGAAGAGGTAATTCATTACTATATTTGGGAAATTAATTAATGCTGTGGAGTGGGCATGCCTTGTTTAGTGGGCCATTCACCAATTTTGGGTGTCTGTGACCCCTCCCCCACAAGACTGTTGCAACCCTTGACCAAGCGACCGAACCACTTTGATGAACGGGATGCATGATCTGAAGTGTACTACTGGTACTGGTAAATGGTTCTAACCATGCCATGCGTACTTTACTAGAGATAAAGTTCACTCTCATAGACCACTCACTCCTATAGAGCGCAGTCTCCTTTGATCAGTGTTGTATGGTTTATCGAAGACCTTCCAGCAGAGGAGTTGGAATTCCTAATGTGGATTTCTGATGTGCATAGCTTCCCACGTTTAATTTAATGATCAATAAACCTAGTTTTAAGCAATCGTAGGACATATGCTCCCCAACCATGATTACGATTTGCCCTACTTAATAGTTTGTATTGAAGCCATGATAACCATGACTACGATTTGTCCTACCTAATAGTTTGTATTGAAGCCATGATAACCATGATTACGATTTGCCCTACTTAATAGTTTGTATTGAAGCCATGATAACCATGACTACGATTTGCCCTACTTAATAGTTTGTATTGAAGCCATGATAACCATGACTACGATTTGWCCTACCTAATAGTTTGTATTGAAGCCATGATAACCATGATTACGATTTGCCCTACTTAATAGTTTGTATTGAAGCCATGATAACCATGACTACGATTTGCCCTACCTAATAGTTTGTATTGAAGCCATGATAACCATGATTGCGATTTACCCTACTTAATAGTTCGTATTGAAGTGCAGTTTGTGGATATCATTACCATGATACGCTATGCTCAAGTGAACAGGGTCCATTATGGAATCAACCTTACACATCTCTCACCCAACAAACCAAAGACAGAGGGGCAAAAGAGTCAAAGACCAAAGAAAAGCTCACCACAGATCTTCCTTTTCCAGAATATACACATCATATTGAAACTCTTTTACAGGGTAAAGAGTAGAATTGTAGAAACCGTTTTCAAGTAAGCTGTTTCTAATAACAACAAACATACAGGAACATATGTAGTCTACCTATTCAAAAAGGGGACTCGTTGTGGTATCTCGTTTTGCTTTCCTTTGTGTTGAAGGGCCAGATAACAGGTAAGCAACCACCTAGTTGCCTGCAACACAGAAGAATATAGATCAAGTGCATGTTTATCAATTGCCAATGTACAATGTATATTTGAACACCTTAATTTATGGTGGGTTATCAATCCAAGTAGCAATTCCAGGAGGTTTACCATAAGGCTCAGTTTGGAAGGAGTACAAATGTAAATATGTACAGTACAAATACATACAAAATATAAGGTTTTGCACTCTACATATTTGCATTTGTATTCCTTCCAAACTGAGCCTAAGGGATTTATCATTGAATGCATGCACTTCTTACTTAAGGACTCAGATACCGGATTCAGAATTATGTTTGTCCAGGGGTTTCACTTGGCAAGAGGAAGAACAAAGATTTATTGACACATCACAGAAAACTACAAACTATGCTGCTGAATTTTAACGTACCGGTGCTCCTACACTTACCTGGTCACTCCAGATCTATTACCCACGTACTGTTCCTATATCCCTACCCACAGAGCACCACCACTGTCTATTGTAAACATCTCTTCATAAATGACAAGGGAGATGTTCCTAATACATAGTTGTAATGTTTCGTGGGTAGTGCTAGTGATGTGGAAACAGCTTGTGGGCAGCAGATCTGAGCCCTTACCTTACCCCGGGTGGGGGTGGGATCGCGGGATGTTGTGTTGGTTAGTCAAAGTTCTCCCAAAATCATATCATCCACTCTGATATTTGAGATTTTGACCAATCAATTCCCTGGTGTGGATTTTGGTGAATTTTCATTGGTTAGCATTAAGTGGGGTGGCGTGGATTTTGATGAATTTTCATTGGTTAGTATTAAGTGTGGGAGATCGGGATGGAGATTGATGGTTTTGGACTCTGATGACACTTCATCACATTGTATTTTAGTCTTAAGTCAGTTGTACATTTTTTAAAACCATATACTTTACTAATCAATTCTCGTCTCTTAGAGTCTAATTAGATGAAAAAGGCTGCTCTCTCAAATGGGCAAACTTTAGGCTCAGTTTATTTGCACTGGTACAATTGCATGGGAGTGCAAATAGGATGAGTGTAAATTTTGGTTTAGCTTTATTTCATATTTGAGTTTATCTTATTTGTTTGTGAGAAGTAAAATAAGAAGCTAAATGATGTTGTTCTGACTTTAAATAAAAGAGAATGGAGGTATGAGGAGGGTTAGTTGTTTGGGAGTATTATGTGATCCCCATTTTATATGAACGGGAATTGAGATAAGAGAAAGTTAGTGTAAATTTTGCATTGGTAGGAGTACAAATCGTAATTCAAAGTAATAGGATGTTAAATGATGGTGTCAGAGAATGGAGGCAGGAGGATGGCTATTTGTTTTGGACTGAGGAAGAAGCAAGATGATGTGATCCCCATTTTATATGAAAGAGAATTGATATAAGAGAAAGGTGATGCAAATTTTGCATTAGGTAGGACTATAAATCATAATTCAAATAAGTAGATGCAAAACTAAACCAGATGCGAAATTTGTATCCTACCGTAAACAAACAGAGCCTTAACAAATTTTCCTTCTCTTCTTTCTCCCAGTGTATTATAACTCAACTTAAACCTAGCTTCTTTAGATCAATTTATCAAACTGAGTTAATCAATCAATTTTGAGCCTAATGATTGATACCCTGATATTACGAATGAAATCATCACCTTTCTTGTTTCTTTAAAAATTCTGTTATATTCATTCTAACTAGAAATTTAAGAACATACCCGCTTTTAATGCTGTTCCTCCTACTGCTCCTACCACTGCTCCTACCACTGCTTCCGGCGCTTCCTTTGCTCCCACAGTTGCTATTTGTTCCACCATCATCAGCCTCTCCTGAGACAGAGAACCTTTTCTTCCACCAATCCTTATCTACACCTCTCTCACTTCCCTCCAGCGAAGGTCTAGGAGAAACTTTGGAACAATTACCCGTTATCGAGCTCTTCTTCTTTTTCTTCGATCCCATAGAAGTTGGGAAGAACATATTTAAAAGAAAAACCCCACGATCCATGCTTTCAGTTCTCAAAATCCCTTTCTTATCATTTCTCCTTCCATTCCTTGCTCCTTGCTCCTTTTTCATCTTCCTGCCATTATTCAGATCACCATTTTCATCCACTGTCACCTGTTCTACCGCTTGCACAACTGGCTTCTCAACAATATCTTTCAAAGAGAGCTCATAGTTGGACTCGGGCATGTTTTGGATCATCTCCACCATCTCCCATCTTCCTCTGGCAATAGCCTGGGATCGGGATGTCGGAGAGAGATACTGGTAGTGGTGGTGGTGGTTGCGGCGGGGGTGCAGTGGTGCAGCTTCTGTGGGACTAGGGGGTGAACTTGTCTTCCACAACGGTGGTGACGAGACACCAGATTCATCATCTTCAACCTGTGTTTGAGTTCCGAACTCAATCGCACTGCCTCCTGTTCTACCATAATTCTCGTAATTCTGAGCCGTTCTTCGAACCCGCACGCCAAAGTCCATCTGGGTTCTGCCAACTTGTTTGGAATTGGATGAATAGACAAGGTTCCTGGGAGGCTCTCGCCGGAGATCATGCATTGTTAGGGGAGAAGGGAGAAACCCAAAAAGGTAATCGTGGTTGTGTGAGGACTGAAGGACTGAACAGAGGTTGGTGTGGTCGCACTATGATGTTCGACCCAAGTCGGCCATTTTCTTCTGAGTTTAATTTAATGGAGAGTCAGTGTAGTGGGGGTCATGGTCAAGGCCTTCTAGATGAGGCTTACGTTGGCCCAATCCCCAAACTTTTCATCATTTATCCTTCTGTTTTCTTGTTTTATAAGAATTCCAGTTCTGGGTCCCTTCTCATCAATTTCTGGGTTATTATATTTAGACCGTGTTTTAAGGGGGTATTAAGTCATGGGTGAACTTTCTTCATCCTGCTCTGCTCTCGGTTCGTCGAAATACTTGGAATTCAATGTAAATTTCGGAAGGCAGTTGCCAGAGTTTCGGATGGTTTGGGAGGGTTGTCCTATTCCTTGTTTATGCATGATTGTAACACATTGGTGGCCTGATCCGACTGCCTTTGTCATAAGAGACATTTGATGTATTAATTGTTGGCCCCACCCCATGTCATGTAGCCGTTGATGAGATGCCTGTTTCAGTGGAGGTATTAAGGGATAAGAGAGGCAAATGATTTAGTATATATAAGGATTGATCAATTAATAGTTTAATAGCTTAAGCTTTTGGTTGAAAGTGTAGAAATTCCATGATTTTGGTGATTCCTCCATTCTCGCAATAATGGAAAGTATCACTTTTCTAAGTTTGAATAAAATTCAGTTCTCTGTGTCATAATAACAACAAACTAGCCAAATGTCTAATTCAACTCCAATCCCTGATAATATACTTCCATTTTCCAATGCCATTAAGACTTGGCCAGAAACTTTTTTACCTTATGCTTGTCTGTTTGTTCATATTGTTTATCAATTTTCTTTTTCTTTCCATAAATGTCCAACTCCATTAAACAAAAGTTACAGTGAGGGATAAAATTATAAAATGTCCATGTTCTTACTCTCTCTTCTTACTTTTCATCTTTTTTCTACCTTTAAACTTTAAACACAAACTAACGGCTACAAAGTAAGTGTTCCAAAGTGAGATTATTATCCATAATGAACAAACCAAGGTGAACTTACTTTGCTGCCACTGATTTGCATTCGAAGTCTAAAGGTAGAAGAAGATAAATAATGAAAAAAGAGAATTAGAACATGGGCATTTTCATGATTTTACCCCTCACCATTTAGTCCCTCTTTCTTTTATGAAATTTGTAGCAGCGAAAGGTCGTATCTAAAAAAATGTCTTCAGCAGTCTTTATATCTTTAATGGGTGGACTAAATGGATCCTCCTGAGCCCTGGCTTTTCTTTGATGCCGAGAGTCTGCAATTTCTGGGGTTTTCTAGAAGAAATCCCTTGTGTTGATCTGGTCAGTCCTCTCTTACAATCTACATTTTTGTATTCTTAATTTAGACTATTGTTGCGGAACAAAAATTAGCTGACGTGTACACATATATATTAATGAATCCCACTTCAAATTTTGACGCATTTATTTGATTAATATAATTATATATTGCTGAGGTTTATTTGGTCAGCTAAGAAAATGATGGACGAACTTAATTGGACAATAGGGTAAGAACAAGGGAGACTCTTGAAGGGATGACTTGTAAAGCTGTATGCCTGTGGTCTGGCCTGTGGACTTTAGACCATAAAATGATGACCAAATTTCAATATATATATAGAGAGAGAGAGAGGAGACTAATAGCATAAGTGGGTTGGTTTAGTGAGATTATTAATTAATGGGTGTGATTAAAACAATCAAGAGACTGAGCTTTAGAATCAATAAACTAATAAGAAACTTAGAAGAGAATGATCATAACTTCCTCTTTTTCGCCATTCCCATGTTCATTGTTCATCATTATTATTCTCTAAACTCTAAGATGATTATCATATTAGCCCTTTAAACAAGAAAAAAATTGGAAAAAAGAAAAGCAGTGCCTGCCATTGTTAACAAGCTGCTAGCTGTTCATGAAATCATCCTCCAACAAAAAGAGAAGTTGAGGGGGGGAATACAAAGCATTGAAATTCATGCATCTTCGGGTTGATGGGGGCTGGGACGCTTATCTCAAGTAACAGTAGAGTGAAGACAAAAGCTCCCAACTGACCTAATAACTCATTAAAATTTTAGAATGATTTGGGTGTCCTTTTTTTATCTTTGAAAGATTCGTATTTATAAATTTATGTCTTTATCCACCAACCGCAAAGCTAGAAGCTGCATGGGTCTCAAGCTCTCAATTAAGAGGGTTGCTCCTTCAACAATCAATATGGCATAGTTGAGGGAATTTTTTCCTTAGACTATGTTTGATTTGATAGAAAATGAGTTAAGAGTCTGCATCTTTTTGTTTTAAGTATGCTAGTTGGATTTGTGACTACTTGTGTAAGATGGACTACTTTATTGCTGGCCATCCATCTTAATTTGTAGTTTGCTTTTTTTATATCTTTTCTGTTGTTCTTGCTTTCAGTTTTAATAGAATTCTCTTTTCTATCTAAAAAAATGTCTCCATGCCTAAGATGTTCCCTTGCTAAAGTAAATGTCTTTTCAACAACACTCTCCCTTTTATAAAATTAAGTGATTTAGGCTGAAAGCAAGGTGGAATGAGATTTGATCTACTGGATTCAGATTCGATAGATTTGGAATCTATTTATAAATTAATAGTTACAAGATGATCAAAATATTATAATATATTATTAATGAAAATGAGTTTAAAAGAAGACTTCCATGATACATGAACCTACCTCCTTGAAAAATCCAGTACTTCAATCAACTTTGCCAACAAACTTATATTAATATATTGGGGTGGGTCTGGATTGTATATGATTAATTATAAAAGGGTCTGATATTTGAGATACAAATCTAGGCTATCCAACATAATTCAATCGATAAATAAATGGGTATTATTTGCAGATATGTAAGGTGGTGTTCTATAACATGAATGCTTTTGTTTTCATATAATTAAAGTATATTCTTGAATTGTGTTTTTGTTTTGAGAAGCAAAAACAATTTGATTTTGTTTTGAAAAGCCATTTATGTTTTTGAAATAATCAAAATGATGGTTTTTAAAATGGAAACAAATTTTGACGTGCAAACATGATAACATATCATTGCAGTGGTATGAGCCAAGAATTTTCCTTTGAGGGGTCAAGAGATAAGAGAATGGAAAATGAAGACTAGGTAAAATTTTCTATAGTGCATCTATGGGATGTATTCTCCATCTAAAATCGGACAAAAAATGTTCAGTTTAAAGTTAATTTCTCTTAAGATTATAGTTTAAATAATGTAAACCCTATTTTATTTTAGAGTGGGTTAAGATCGAGGCATTGTCCAATCTGACTCTATCATAGGAAAAAATAATTCATTCCAATTCAGGCCCAACATAAAAATCCAACCCAAACAATTTGTACTATCATAGGAAAAAATAATGGGTTATGTTAAAAGTTATAATATGAGTTTTCAACAAATCAAATTGAGATAAAGTCGTATTAGCTAGTGTGATTAAGGTCAAATTTTTGATACGTATCAAACCGTATCGACCAATGTATATCATATCGAGGATTTTCCGATATGCCTCTACAGGGAGTGTTTCATGTCACACCATGGTTTAGAGAATAGACGGGCCTTAAACCAACCCTTTTGAACCAGATTGAACAAAAAAACTAAAAATAAAGGGACAAATGAACCTCGATACCTACTAGTGTATCGGCTGTATCTGTATTTTGAACCTTGCTAGTAAAATTTTCTTTGAAAAGCTTTGGGGGTGATTATTAGCCCAACCTGGTTGTAGATACAATAATGGATGGGCTACCCTTGGTTGTAAGTATAGGGATGGGAAAAGTTTGGGGGACCAAGGACCAACCATGCAATAACTTGGTTCTACCCTTGGATCATTGGATGAAAATATGTTTAATGTTTTTCTAACAAAAAAAATTCAAGAATATGCCTTTTGTTTTAGTTTTGTAAACGAAAGTACATGCACAACCAAAAACGTATTTTGTTTTAAGGAATAGGGATTTGGAACCGGAATTAGAATGGGCTATTCCGATTCCAACTGTTTGGTTGAATGGAATTGGAATCCCATTCCCATTCCTACTGGAATGGCCATTCCCCCATTCTCTACCCCTCCCTTGGGAATGAAATCTCATTCCTGCTGATTTTAATTCCCATTCCCATTCCTGTCTCAACCAAACAGACTATGGGAATAGACTATTCCGATTCCAATTCCAGAGAATTTTGATTCCAATTCCGATTCCGACTACGAACCAAATGGACCCTTAGTTTCAAAATTGCTAGTTTGATTTTGGGAATCACAAAAAGAAAAACAATTCATATTAGCCAACGCCCCTTACATTATTTATTCCAATTGATCTAAGTTCTAGATGAAAAAAGTAATATGTTTTTCTAATATACTACTTGCTTTTGTTAAAAAAATTGAAATTATGTGTACCCATATGGCCCCATTTGTTTTCCAAAAAAGTATTTGTTTGGGTAATTGCATTTATTCAAGTTCTTTTAATTAAAAGTATTTTCTAGGTAAGTTAAATAATGACTATTTTTATCCATAAAATGTGATTATTAGAAAGGGCAATTTTATTTATAATGCTGTGACAACTTTCCCTTTGGATAGGAAAATTATTTATCTATTTAGGAGATGAGTATCACTTATTCAAGTAAGTGATACACAAAGAAAAAGCAATTTTCCATGGGACACAGTTTATTACTCGGACATGGGATTGTTGGTCAATTGGAATCACTTTTCCATTGACCAACTTTCCCTCCATTTACCGAAAAACAAATGGGGCTCAATAGTGTTTTATCCATATGTATAATTTTGTTTTTCAAAACAAAAATGATTGTCACATCAATGAAAACAATATGAATTTGCAAATTTAATAGTTTTGTTTTTGAAAAACAAGATTATATATAATGACATATATAACATAACTATAAATATTTAAGGGGTTCTTTGTCAATATGCACGAGTTTATTTTTTAAAGTCTAAATTACAATTGCCACCCTGTACTTTGGGCGTGATGACACTTGGGCCGTTAGCCTACCAAACTCTTTTTTGCAATAAGACCCCTTGAACTTTTGGATTTTAACACTTTTCCTTCCTACTCCATTGATGGGTTTAACAATGAAAAGAAATAACATTACTAAATTACCCATATGAGATTTCATGGGTTAAGAGCAAAAGCTATAATG